AAAAAAACTCAGATTTTTTTTCTTTGAATCTTCTAAATGGAGTAAATTCTAGGTATTTTTGAACTTTTTATGATTATCCTTAATACAAAACCATTCAGTAGGCAAAATTTTAACAGATTACTGGAAATTCTTTTCAATTAGGCTATACTATACTTCATCAACATTATATATTCGTTCGGTTCACACAATTTTCGAGCATTTTACCTGATGGCGATAAACAACATAGGAGAAGGCAAAGAACACAACTATGAAGGGAAGAATAAACGGCGTCACCACTGAATAAACGAGCCCCAGCAGGAAATACAGTTGTATACGAGGTTCAGTCGAGGCGAAACTTATACAGCCCGGGTCCATTGCCTGATCTCTATCCTTTTCTGTTTTGACCAAAAATGTGTTCTTTAAGTGGAATACAATTAATGGGACCAATCGAAGAATCTCTGCAGCTATACCGGCCCAACCATCAACCATAATATACGATATGAAGAAAGTGGCTTTCATGGGAATGGCAACACCTACTGTTTTTGGGATCCTGCAGTGCATGAAATTTTTTGAAAATAAATAAATGATAATCATCACTTTTTGCTCAAGAAATGGGATGATAACTGAAAGGCTAAATTGGATTTTTCCTGTTGGTTTAACGTCATATCAATTGTAGTCTCAAGATTCTAACATTTCGCCTTTTCGTAATGTTATTTATTATTTTGCTGCAATTTCAGTCCTCGAAGGACTTAAATTGCAACAATTTCCCAAACTTATATCTTGGGATAAATTTTTTATCAGCAATTTAAGTCTTGTAATTTAAAATTGTGTCGCAATTTTAGTCCTGTAGTTTAAAATTTTACACCAAAATATTAAAACATAGGACGAACAGGCAAAAAGTTGGAACCTTGGGACTAAAATTGCTATGGCGTTAAACCAACGGGACTACAAATGCATTTTTGCCGAAACTAGTGAAAAATATTAGCTTAGTTACGATAATATAGTTCGTAAAATTACCCAAGAAATGAAAAATCAGTGAAGTTCATTTAGAAATCATGCATATAAGGTGATTGAGAGAGAATAGCATACTCTGAAGGGCTCTCATTGAGAAACCTATGGAGTTGCTGGAAAGCTGCTCCGGTGACAATACTTCCAAAGAAGACATTAACAAGCAAAAACAGATGATATTTTCCGGCCGAACGTCTATCCAGAGACGAAAGGGACGTGAGACCTTCGATCTTGGACATTGTCATGAGAATTGTTGGAAGAAGTATCAGGAATATCTTCAGTGCAATACCGGGAAGAAAACCTTGAACGATAGACTTCACATTATCCCTGAAAAAAAAAAGGAAAAAGGAGCAATCATTGATGTACTCCTATATCAACGGTTTCGCAAGGCTAAATTGCATTTTTAGTCCTCCTTGTTTAACGCAATAGCAATTTTAGACTCAAAATTCTAACATTTCATTTTTCGATCCGTCATCTGTGATTTAATGTTTTGCTGCAATTTCAGTCATTTGAGGACTAAAAATTCTCAAATTTATAGATTTACGATTAGCCATGTAAGTCCTACAATTTAACTTTATTTTGCAATTTAAGTACTGTAATGTAGACTTTTGTCAAAATATTAAATCACAGGGGGCGAAAAGTTAGAACCTTGGGACTAAAATTGCTATGACGTTAAACCAACAGGACTAAAAATGCATTTTTGCCGTTTTGCAAATATCCAAAAAATGTTTAAAAAATAATGAACTTACGCCTCGATCAACGGCTCTAGGAATGGGAAAACCTTCTCAATGCCATCAATGCTCGCCAGTGACTGCACAAAGGCTATAGGGATCATGAAAAAGAAGGTGAGGAAGAACATGGAAACTGCCATGATCAGCCTTTTCACAGCAAGCTCGACATAAGGTATCGCGAGATTGGGCCAGTAAACATCCCGCGGCTCGGGGGCCCACTCTGTGAGCCAAATGGTTGGGTTGCTCGACTGTTGAGTCTGGGCACAAACGGCTGCACCCCACCGGGATTTAAACGAGACGAATGCTGCCGGTACTATGGCCTTTGGGTCGCTCATTACCTTCTCTCTTTCTGCATCTTCCTATTATATTCCCCAATTAATAGTAATAACAGAAAGAGAGGGAAGAAGAAAGAAAATAGAAGAAGAGAAAAGGAAAAGGTAAATTTTTTATAAATTACAATAAGTACCCTCAATATTTGATTTTGATTTACATTTTGCCCCAACCGTTGGCGGGGTCGACAGATTTTTGTCTCGCTGTAATTTTTTTAAGGTGAGGGGTGTAATTACAAAATGCAAGACAAAAAGGTGGATTGATTTGTAATGTTTAGAAAAATTGGGGGATGTGTGAGCAGAAGCAGTTGGCAGGTGTGGCAGATGTAAACCTCAAGAGTAGATTTCGTAATATTCAAAGTTAGCTAGACCTTTTTTTGTAGTTATCTCTAAATAATGAAAAGAAGAAAGAACAAAAGCAAGTCACTTATTGTCTTCTTTAAGGAGCCAATGTCTGAACAACTATATGAACTTGTGCAGCTTAGCTGGCATACCTCTTCTATTATCTTCTCAATCTCTGTTGTGTAATTATCGATGGCATCCACAGACTTTCCCCAAAGGCCCCAACAACCTGTCTATAAACTTTTACAAAATAAGATTACATATTTTTTTTTCCTTTTGTTATTTTTCTAAATTGTGGAGTATATTTGTATTCACTGAACAACATAACATAGTATGCAAGGAAAGATACCTTTGTTCTTGGCCTCTTGCTTGGATTCCTCTCATACCGTGTTTGATAATAAGTAAGCCAGTTATGTAGACTTTTCTTTTTCTCGACCAATTCGGCTAGTTTGTTCGCATTATATACGACCTGCAATCCATTTACCAAGAAGCAGAAGCCTACATTAGAAATGGAATGCAGATATTTGGTCAAAATGAATATATTTTTTAACTAGAGTTAATTTTGAAAAAGGTGGTATGGTTAGTTGTTAGATTTAGAGTTTATATTAAAATAATACATTTTAATAATTAAAGTTGATTTGATGTAAAAGTATGAGAGAGATGATATGAAGTGATGGTTAGTTAAAATTATGTTAGTGGATGAATAGTTAATTAAAGTTGATGTGATGTGTAAGAATGACTGATTGATAGTATTTAATTATATTGATAATATTGAGGATAGTTGGTGTTGAGTCAAAGTTGAGTTAGATTTTGAGTAAAAATTGAGGATGTATTGGCTTTTTTAATACAGAAACATACCCTTAACTTACCTTGAATCATAATCTACATAACCTTTTGGGAAGTGAATATATTTTGTTTTAAAATTTATCTTGTATCAAATTTGAAGTAGAATAAAGTGCAAACCTGATGGGTTAGATAGTGATCACGATGATTAACACAAAAGAAATGCTCGACATGCTTGCTAACAGATTCATCTGGATCCGGAGGAACATTTCTCACAAGAACCTGTCAAATAAATAAATAAATAAATAATGTACTTTTCTATTGGTGCGCAAAATGCAAGAAATTCATATAAAATCTCACAGTGAATTGATCTGGACGACGATGTGCAGAAGCTAGGTACTGCAGCCTCTTGTTAGTCACAATCTGATATTCTTTGTAAAGGACATAGCATGTCCAAAATGTGAATACATACGCCATTATAATATGTGTAATAAACCTAAAGTAGTTTAAGAAAAAATCGGCTTTACCAAATGTTCACAAGATAATTACCAAAGAAAAAAAAAAAAGAAAAAAGAACTGCCTCATAAAGCGTCTCAATATCGATATGTTTATGTGAAGGAATTATATATATACATATATATATATATAGGCAAAAATGCGTTTTTAGTCCTTTTGGTTTAACGTTATAGCAATTTTAGTCCCAATATTCCGACTTTTCGCCTTTCCGTCATGTGATTTAATATTTTACTGCAATTTTAGTCTCAAAGGACTGGAATTGCACAAAATATTAAATTACATGACTGAAATTACAACAAAATTTTAAATTACAGGACTTAAAGTGCTAGTCGATAATCTGGAAATTTGGGAATTTGTTGCAATTTCAGTACTCAAAAGACTGAAATTGTAGCATAATATTAAATCACATAACTAAAAGGTGAAATTGTTGGAACCTTGGGACTAAAATTGCTATGGCGTAAATGCGCAGGACCAAAAATGCAATTTCGCCTATATATGAATGCACCCAATACAAAGAAAGGTTGATATGCACCTTGGAGATCCTGAAGGAACATTGGATATAGAAAGCTTGTCGATATTACTGAATGTTAAATCTTTAACATTGGAAAGCGTTTTCCCAGTCCAATTGACAGGCACAAGCACCGCGAAAGCGAGAAGGGTAATTGGGACAAAAATTTTCAATCTGCATTCAAAATTTTCTAGTCACAGGGTTAACAAGCAATCGATATGCCTAAATGAGCGCGAGTGGACTTCTGAAAACACTAAAAACTTCATTTTTCGACTAGAAGATGAACATCACCTCTTTTTTCCTATTATTTTTTGTTCACTCCAAATACTCCAAAACCATCACTAGTTTCCACATGATGAAACTAAAAGCATAACATTAATAAATATCAGTTACTCACCCAAGAAGGTAAATCCTAATATACACAGCAGAATCGAGCCCGGTATGTTCGATAAGCTCGGGCTCTGGCATTCGTAATGCCGCAGGCATCCATGTCCAAAACTTTAAGTACGTTCTGAAGTCTAAATTCACGAACTTTTTCATAAAAGGCCCTGAACTTCTGGGGCTTGCTCTTACGCCCTTTAAGTACCATTTGGGGAAGTATACTCTGTCGTTGATAGGTTGGAGCCTTAAGAATGCAAAAGCAAGAAGAAATGCTAATGCAGAGAGCAGATTGATAGCAGCTGATGTGGCAAGATCTCGAACACTAGCCATGATTTTATTAGAGAGGATTACTAATCACCTGAGATTGAAGAAGAAAGAGGAAAATGAAAAAAAAAAAAAAATGTACTGAATTTTATAAGTCGAGTGATCATTATAATGGGCAAGATTAAAAAACAATATAAGATTTCCTAAAAGAAAATAATAACCAAGTTTCACACAGACTTGGACAAAATTTATAATGAAACAAAGCAGTGATAATTTATGCAGCAAACTATTAGTCAGGGACAACAAATCACGAACCGTATGATCGTGCAGAAAAGAATTGCATAAAAATCTACGCATTCATATTATCTATGAACACTAGCAGCATTATATAGCAAATGTCTCATGTAACCTAATTGAATAGACAAATTCTTACTTATATCGAAGGTTGGGTGAGAGGAATATGACAAAAAAAATGTCAAACCTTAAAATATTTTACTGCCAATAGAGGAAACAAATTATTGAATACCCTTTGGACATAACTGACAGTTATGACTCAAAAAAGGGATCAATGTAGAGATTTGCATCAAATAAACAAGATAAACAAGGGGAAACAGAAGAGGAGCACATAATTTGAGCTTTATTTTTTGCCGGATCAAGGTAGAACCAAACGAGGAAATAATAACACATCCAATCTAAATATTAACAAAAGGGGTGAAAATAAAAATACTTTCTTGAATTGTTGGAACAATAATTTCCTTACCAAAGCCAGGATGACAGAGCTACCACCAATGGCCCAAAGTTACCACAAACCGTATGACCATGCCGAAAAGATTCGCATGATAATCCATGATTTCATATTATCGATAAACACTAGCAATGCACAGCAAACATGTCGCACTTAAATAAATCAAATAAGCAAATTCATACTCAAACCGAATGTTGGGTGGGAGAAACATGACAAGACAAGATCATAACTTCAAACATTTTGCTGCCAAATGAGGAAACAAATTACATAATAAAAGCTTTGAATATAAATAATTTGCACCAAATAAACGACATAAACATGGGGAAAATGAAGGTGAACACATAAATTGAATTCCTTTTTTTGGCCAATTCAAGGTAGAACCAAACGAGGAAAAAAATAACAAAACCAATCTAAAAGTCTCAAACAAATTCAGCCCCCCTAAATATCAAAAAGGGTGGAAAAACAAGAAAAAGTTAAATAAAATTATTCACTCGAATTGTCGAAACCTTCATTACCTTAGCAAAGCCAGGAAGACAGAGCTACCACCAATGGCGCAAAATTACGAGGAAATCTTGTCCTAATTTCCTTGAACCGCCGAAGGAGGAGAAATTAGGGTTTCCTCCGATGTGGAAATTGGGGGCGCCCGGCCAGGAGGAGGGTAGCTATGGGAGCTCTTCTTCGTTTGCGTTCTCCCATTTTCATGGCAGTTTAACGCTTAAAACGATACTTGCAGAAGGAAATTTTGAATGCTCCAATGACGATTTTGCCCATGCAATGAAATCCCTTCCTATATATTAATTTATAACGTGTTGAGCCTAAGTGGTAGATTCTCATACTTTGATACTGACATGACGAAAATTTATGTTACGTAAAGTTTTTTATTATTTTTGCAGTTAGGTTTAGTATTAGACATGAATAACTTTTATTATATATTTCTTAACTCAATACCCGTACACGAGTATTGTACTAGTGACATTTTATTATCAACTAATCAAATATTATGTTTAACTACTTTACAAATCATTTTCTAACTTGCTTGGTGATTATGTGTTTGTAATGATCTATAATAAGTTAGACTTCTGACTTATTATTTTGAGAACAATAATTTTTAAACTTTCATCAATTAAACATCTATACATATGTAATTGCGGGTAAAATAAATTATATATATATATATATATATATATATATATATATATATATATTTTATTTTTTTTTTATGGCCAAAAGACGTTATAGATTTTTCATCTTTGACTGATTTTTTTCCTTTATTTTATTCAATTTCATTTAGTAACGTTTTTCGCCCATTTTTTAGCTACTTATGGTGGAAAATCATTACACTTATTTTAATAAGTATAATTATATATTTTTTAATATTATATTATATAATAGATAATATTAATACTAATTAATAATAATTTACACTACGTATTTTTATAGAAATTAAACAAGTATAAAAAAAAAGTTACATTGAAAATGTTTTTGTTCAAGCTCTTTACACTAAAATCAATATTTATTAATTATTATAAATAAACGTAATAACAATAACAATAACAATAATAAAAAATATAATAATTTTTCAACTAAATTATATGGATAAGATCCCTCAAAAATTAAAATTACATTATCCTCGAACTTTTTTCAATTCAATCAATACAGTAAGTCATATATGCTTAAATAATTTATATTTATATTGTTTTATTTTTAGTAATAATTAGATTTTAAAAATGTGATATGTCCACTATCTATTTTATAACTTAACATAAGATTTACAAACACACCTTATAATATTCTATTCACATATGTGCATATATACAGGATGATTACTAGTTTGGAGTGGAATTGTTGTATTATTAATATTCTAAGACAGAACGAGTTATATCTCTCCAAAAAACTTAAATCTCATTTCATAACAATGAATTGAAATCATAATTATAACTATAAGACTAGTGTGAGGTATGCCTAACGGTTGGTTAGCTATACTTTTCAGTAAATATGTACACTTTGATGCATAATGTGACATACTATAATAAAATATAACTAAAAAAACTAATATATATGACATTTTTAATTGTAAATGTTATTTTTTATTTAAAAAGTATGATATGTTGATCAACTTAACCGTTACAATGGCTCGCTCAATAAGTTTTACAATTGTAAAACACTATCTCGTGCACAATTTAATTTGACACGAAATTAACATACATGTTATTATAGCATTACTACTTATCAAGGTTGCGTTTGGGGAGCATATATGTTAGTTTATATTGTGTTTGACAAGCATATAATATAGCTTATAGTTTATTTGATTAGCTAATAAGTTTCATGTATTCAAATAAACTTAGTTTGGTAGAAAAACTTAAAAAA